TTTAATACTGAGGAAAATGCAGCCCAGAGATGGAAAGTCACTTTTTCAAGGTCACACAGAAAACACACGGCATAGCCAAGACAAGAAATAAAAAAGGAATCATAATATCCAACAACCAGTCAGAACAGGTGACCTGGACTGAAGGGGAAGGTCAGGCCTGGGAGTGTTATAGCAGGAAGGCACCAGAGGAATAGGGCTCAGCAATTGCTCTGTGACAGTGCTGTCCTGGGTGGCTGTGTACTCTGTTTCATTTACTACATGTAATACCAATAGGACTAGAAGCCATTATTATCCCTGTCTTGCTGATGTCAAACCTGAGGTGCAGTTTAGATAATATCCCAAGGTTTTAAAGCTAGAAAGTGAGGAAGTTAGAATGCAACTCAGGTTGGGTTGACAATAAAGCCTGCACTCCTTCTGCACAGCTCTGCTCATTTCCAGGCCAGAGGCTATTCTACCATTTAAGGTCTCCCTTCCTCCCTGCATACCCTCAGTCCAGGTTCTCTGGAAGTATATGGAACACTTCATCACCCCTAAAAAACACACACACACACAAATGCACACTCACAAACATACACATACACATGCGTGCACACACACTCTAGCCTAGTCCAAAAACAACACACATGCACACACACACACATGCACACTCTAAACTAGTAGGGACCTGGTAAGGCAGGAAGATGGCTGAATCCATTAGCACCACCAAGCACAGCACATATTTATGGCCCCAATTACAGCCTTCATCTCCCACTACAGTGAAGGAGAGGGAATAGCCACAGGAATAGTTGTGTGCGGTGGGGTCTGAGTCCTCTGTAGCAATAACTACAAGATTAGAGATGTTAGCAAACCCGGGTGATGGCAGCTCTATTATAATGATAAATCTACAGCTTTATTTAGAAATAATGAGACTGGGGGCAGAAGATGCTAGGAGGGAAGAGCATGGTGATTTTAGCCAATTGAAGCTCTGGTTGGAGAGAGTGGCAAAGCTCTGGGTATGCCCAAGAGACCATCAGGGGCCCTTGGGCAAGCCAGGCAGGAGGAGAGATGGCGGAAGCAGAAGGGCAGCGCTTCCCAGGGCTGGAATGGGTGTAGTGAACTCCCAAAATTTCCATCCCAGGCCTGAGTTTCTTAATTCCACGCAATGCAAGAGGCCTCTGACTGTCCTGCAGGCCCGGTTTGCTCTGGCTCTCCAGCCAGTGGGACATATGAGCTGCTGTGCTACCCAGACTTCCCTCTGGAACAATCTAGGGTAGGGAGGTGAGTGTCCCTTGAGGCTTAAGATCTGCAAATAACAAAGAGCTAGACTCCCCCGATGTGTACCTCCCCTTCACTAGCCTTGAGCTCAGGGTTCTGTGTTTGTGAGAAAACAATGCAAATGTTTCAGGCTTTGGTACTTCAAGTCAAGCACAAGGGCGGGGGCGGGAACAAGGGACCTGCCTGGTGCCACCTGCCAGGGCTGAATCTGACTCTCCTGCACAAACTCAAGGAGCAACACAGGCAGCATTCACATCACTTTGGTGAGCACAGAGCAGCCTCCAAGTCCCCTTTCTCATGGCACCTTTCCTTCTGCTCAGCGTGTGGGTCACGGACCCTCTGCCTTGGTCCAGACTACCTGATCTGACTGGTTACCCCAGACACAAACCATCCCATTCACCTCTGAACAAGAGCACAGGCTGGGTCTCTCCCAACCAAGCCTGGCTCTAAGCCATTTTCTAAATACTACTTGAGCTGCTTCTCCTCCAAGAAGCCTTCCCAGGTGAACTCCATTCAATTCCAACTGCTTCTTTAATAGTCTTTTCCTTGGGCACCCATATATAGTTTTAATTGAATTAAGTAAGCCACCGGTCATTTAACAAGAAAGTACTGGTTTCTTACACTCAACCCTGAGGGAAAACACAAGAGAAAGTCAAATGTGGGTCACAAGCCATTCCTGAGCCATTGGGAGGACTTTACAACGTAGAATATGGCTCAGGATATAACTTGGGGATACAGAGAACACACTGGACAGGCAGCTGCTGTGAGACCGGGAGGCCACATGGAGGATGACGGCAGTTAGGCTCTGAAAGGTGGATTGGTTTGCACCAGGCAGAGACGTGGGAACAGGCCTGCCTGACATGGAGAACTTGTTGGCAAAGGCAAGAGGCAGAAATGTCAGGTGTTTTTCTGAAGCTGCTGGATTCCTGAGCTCAGGTCCAAAGGGCAGCTCTGGGAATGGAATCAGACACACGGGAGAGATGGGAGCTGGCTGTTGGCTGCACTCAGCTCGTCAGTATTGCTCCTCATTGTGCTGGCTGTGGAAATTCATATACACCCAGTGCTCTGTCATTCCTACTGACTGTGATGACTTAGGCCTCTCTGGCTCCCAAATAATTAAAATTTGACAGCACCACAAATAGGTACAAGCACCAGCCTTCTTGTACCTCTTCCCCCTCTTTTTGCTTGAGTCCTTGCCTGGCAGGGTGATGAACCTGCTCCTGAGAATTCTATCTGCTGGTGGGGCTGTGGGTTGGAGGGTGGCTGGGGACTCACTTGAGAAGAAACATCCAGCTCAGACAGACAGTAAGACTGGCTGAGCATGGGTGCGGCTCTGCAGCTTGGGAAACTCCTGCAGCTGGACTCCCTCTGCAGCTGGACTCACTCTGCAGCTGGACTCCCTCTGCACCTGGACTCGCTCTGCACCTGGACTCCCTCTGCAGCTGGCTGGAATGCTGCCCCTTCCTCTTGGGCTGTTGACTTATTCATGACTGTCCTTCCCCACCTGATTTAGTTCTCCTTATCCAGGAGATCTTCACCAGCTGTCCTAACTGTAAGGCTCCTACAACCGTACACAGCGGATCGTATTTGCTGCTTTGCACTGCCAGCTACTGCAGGGACTTTTCCTGTCTCTGTAATTAGATGACAAGTTTCTGTGGGTCAAAGAGGCTGTTTTCTACCCCAGCCCCACCCTCACCCCCATGCCTGGCACAGTGTTCTTAGGAGGAGGAGAGGGAGGGGGCTATAATGGTAATAGTTGAGGATGATGAGGATGGTGGTGATTTGTTCCATGCTCTTTGGTTGATCTGCCCTTTTCAGAAGCCAGGCTGGGGAAGTGGTGATGGGACAAGGGCAGGACAGCCACGGGGTTCTTGGATATGGAAAGGTGCATCCAGGTGAGGAGTGTGCTTGGGCACAGACTGCTTACCCCAGGCATGAGGCTTCCAGTCATGCCTAGAGCCAAAGACACCAGATGGTGGACTCTGGCAAGGAGCAAAGGAGGCTCCTAGAAGGGCTGAGCTGAGCTCTGCTTCCTGCAGCCACTGGCCCTCACGCCCTTCCCTGGGTGGCAGCCTCACTCTGAGGAGGGCTGAGTTGCTTTTCTCTACCTGCCCAGTTACCATAATGAAACCACAGCCTAAGGAGACCACAGGGAAGAGCTGCACCAGATGTAAACTTCAGAGTGATTTATGGGGTGGAGCGCTCGGGCCTGGGGCTGCCGCACAGCTGCTGTTCTGATCCGCCCCGTCTGCCCGCCCCGTCTGCCTGCTAGCCAGCCGGCTACTTATGTTCTTCTTAGGGATGACATTTCAGGAAAGCAAAGGTGGGGGAGGCACTGGGCCATTGGGCTGGACTGGTCAAAGTCAGCACAAGCTATGAGAATGGGGTGTCCCCCAGACTCTTCCTGGAGTGTAAGCAGAGCCCACCAAACTTTCTCACTTTGAACAAATCAAGATTTATACCTTTTGCACACCAGAGCAGGGCTGATTTTCCCAGCCCCTCTCTTCACAGGCTCAACACAGAGATACAGTATTGACTATCTGAGCAGGAGTCTGCAGACAGAGTGGGGTCGCCCCTCCTCAGAGATACAGTGAAGGAAATATCCAGGTTGCTGTTCAACCTGTTAGCACTCAAGACAGCAGATGCAAGGCCACTGGAGCTTGGAGGGAACGCCCCCACTGAGCTCTCAGCTGCCTGGGGGTGGTGGGTGGCTTAGAGAGAGGACACTAGCTATACCTGCAGGACGCAGCTATACAGTTTCCTCAACTCGGGACTGGAACGAAGGGCTATGCCAGACCGAAGGGCTCCAGATGTGCCCTCTCCAGTTCTCTGTGCCAAACCTGTGCTCTCTTCTCTTAAAAGCCAACTTGAGCCCCAGCTCCTTGAAACCTTCCCTGGTTAATTCCAGCTGATTGCAAACAGCCCAGAACCCACCTCCTGTGTAGGGGTTAGTCAGGTCTCCTTTTGGGCTGGCCTCCCCCATCTCCCATACATGACTGGGAAAACAATGCCCAAGCGAAGGGACTCTGCTCTGTGTCATCATTCGTGCTGTTCATTAGGTATGTCCAGCTCTCCTTCTGGGCACTCGGTAGGATTAATTTGCCCCTTCTCCCTTGATATTAGGAGTTACCATGTGTCTTGTTCTAATGGGAGTGGAAGTGACATGTGTCACTTCTGCGTGGAAGCTTTAATAAACAGTGCATGATTTGCCACGTCCTCTTCCTCCTGATGTTTAACTGTGGAGGCCCGTGTCTAAATGCAGCGTCTGTTGGCTTGGGTCCCCAGGTAACAAGGTGGAGTAGAGTCCCCAGCCCAGATGCAAAGCACACGAAACATGAACAAGGCCTAAACTTTGGTTGTCTAAAGCCACAAAATCCTCAGACCGTTTGCTGCTGCAGCATAGCCTGGTTCAGCCTAACTGATATGGCCTGTTTCGATTGCCTATGCCAGGTTTCTGTATCTATATCAGTACTCTCAGTAGAAAGAACCATCCCAGAACGTGCAACCAGAAGCCACAGATAAAAAATCTCTCCCCTTCCTAGCTACATGGGGACTCTGCTGTCTGCCATTCCAACCTGGGACAGAGTGCAAGGGCAGGCTGGGCCACTGGGCAGTTTCCAGAGTCCCTCTTCATATCCCAAAGGGAAAAGGCCCATTTGTCTCTAGGAAGTGAGGGGTTGGGGACATGTCCAACCCAACCCAGAACCACAAATCCTCAAGAAGCCAAGGAACAGGGCTGTACTCACACTTGTGGCATATTGGATGTCCTTCCAGATGGAGGTTTCCCGAGACAGATCAGAGGCCTCAAAGAGGTTGTCCATGATGACCTCACCAATCATGTCATGGCGGGAGAAGCGGTCGAAGTCAAAGACACTGAGATGCAGCTTGCGGTCAGCCAGCTCCTCATAGGGCACAGGGAAGTGGAAGTTCTCATCAAAGGTGGGGTTCAGGGTCTTGCGGTGCACCCGGGTCTGCAGCTTGCATTTGCGGTCAGGCAGGAGGTAGATCTTGACATAAGGGTCAGAGCTTCCGCAAAAGTCCTTGGCAGGGAGGTCAAAAGCCTTCAGGATACGCACAATCAGGGTCTCGGTCTCGTAATCATAACGTAGGCTGAAGTTGATCTTCCCGCAGCTTTTGGTGGCCTCAGACTTGGCATCGTCCCCATCCACCGACTTCTGCTTGTAGAGCTCAGGCTTGATGCGGCCAATGCTGGTGGGCTGCTCTGCTGCTGGTGGAAGCTCGTTGCCATAGTCTACACTGGAGACGTGCATCTGCCTTGGCAGGTGGCGCTTGAAGGACGTGTGCCTGGTAGAGGGCAGGAGGGGGCAGAGGGAGTGTGGTCAGGGCTCAGGGGAAGGGGGATGAAGGCAGACACGAGGCTGGAAGCCCTGGCTCATTGTATCCCTTGTTGAGCCCCCTTTTCCTTCCTCTTCTTGACCCTACTTTTCCTCTGCACACACTTGGTGTACAAGGTTGTGGTGAGCATTACATGTCTTAATATATGCAAAGTAGTTGGAATGGCGCCTGATACATAGTAAGCTCAATAAATGTTAGCCATTGCTATCATAATCAGTTTTTCCTGCTTTTCTGTTACCTGCTTTTTAGGTTTACTTCCTAGTAGACAAGACTCTGGTTTCCTTATTAAATCATGAGATCCCTTAAGAGAAGGACCATCCCTTCTTATCCTCAATGTGGCACTCCCTTCATCACCGTCATCAGCATCTCCATTTGTTGAGCATTTGCTATACAGCAGGCAGCGGAGTGGTAAAAGCATGGGCTTTGGAGTTAGACTGCATAGGTCAGTCTTGGCTCTGTCACTTTCTAGCTGAGATCTTGGGAACGTTATTTAACCTCTCTGTGCCATAAAAACAAGGATAATAAAAGTAACAACTACATAGGATTGCTGTGAGAGTAAAATGAATTGATTACATATGAAGTGCTTAGAACAGAGCCAAGCATAATCATAAGCAATATATGTGTTAGCTCTCCTTATCGATTATGTTGATTCTTCCATTGGCTCCTCACAACTGCCATATAAAAGTCGTCAGCCTTATTTTACAGTTGGAAAAAGCGAGGCTAAGGGAAGGTGAGGAACTTGCCCAAGGCCATATGACAAACTGTCAATGTGACCCCCAGTATGTTCATTCCTGGCCTCTAGTCTGAAGATCAGTACTCTTTCTCTTTGGTTGGTCCCCTGAGGGCCTGGAGAGCCATTGCAGGGACCTAGGAATCCATCAGAGCCCTAAGTTTTGAGTAAATACAACGCCTTACGCATGCTTGTGCCACATCTTTTGAAAGTGTTTCTGAATTTGGGGTAGGTTTTTGTCGTTACATTTTTCTTGTTGCTATTTTCAGTTAAAGGATGCTGTATGTATTTACAATTATTGTCATACAGGGAACTCTGAAAGGCTTTAAAGGAATCCTCATTCTCAAACTATTAAGACTCTCTTGCCTTATCTGCCATGCACTGCAGACTGTAGCTATCGGGCTTTACTGACATATCCCTAAACACACCATGAACTCTTACCTCTCTAGGCCTTTGCCGTTCTCTTCCTTCTGCCTGAAGCCTTTCCTTCCAAACATCCAACACTCCCCAATTCCACTATTCCATTCCCCTCATATCCACACGTACCCCAAGTGCACACCACATGTACAGCAACCAGCCTCAAAGGTTTCCCTTTCGTGAAGTCTTTCCTCCTCGTTGATCACCCATCGTGGATCACATCTTCTGACATATTTCTCCATCAAAGGATATGTGTTATTATTTCTGATCTCTGATCCTCACAGGCTGGAATCCCATAGACGTATTAAGGGAGTGTGGAGGTGTGGGATCAGGGAAGGGAGCGGTCCACTCCTCACCTGGTGGATGAGGCTGGCTCTGTAGTTTGCCGCTGCAGCCGCGTGTGACGCATGATGTGCTCCTTGACCGACATCTGCACCTCAGCTGGGATATCTGGGGATGTGTGGCTGATCTTCACGGCCGCCTCCAGGAAGCCCAGGGTGCTGGGGTCCTTCAGCTTGTCCGCCATGTTGCCTCTGAAGCTGGGGCTCTGGAGGGCTTCCAAGGGCTGATTAGCAGAAGAGGGACTGGAGGCCTCCTTGTTCCTCCAGGGCATCCAGCACAGCTTCCAAAAGAGAAAGAGAAAAACTGCCACCAGGGCCACGCCACACACAATAACTACAACTGCGAGGAGGCTGACAGAGGTGCCTGCCCTCGGCATGAGCCAGGCAGGAAGGGACAGACAGACAGAGGTGGGGAGAAGCGGGTGAGGGTGTTGGAGGAGGGGGCACACAGAAGGGACAAAGACGGAAGAAGAGAGAAGAATGGTCATGAGAAAGCTGCCAGGTCAGAGGGAGAGGTGGTTTCAGGGTTGACTCTTGATTGTCCACTTCGTGGAATATCTGCAGCCTTGTGTTCACCTCAATCTGATTCTTCCAGCATCCTCTTTCCCGCCCCCATCCCCTCCCCCCAGCCAGCTTGGGGAGCACCTGGGCTGTCTTCTCTACTGCCTATTGGCATGTGCACAGGGAAAGGAAAGTAATTTAAATAGTAGCCTAAGCAAATGTGCAAATTCGTGAAGCATGCATGTTCAGACGCTGTTTGAATTTCTATTAAAGCTGCTACTATGGCCAGACCTAGAGTCATTTTTGTCTACAGCCTACTTCCTTAACAGGCTGTGATACCTTGGGGGGCAGACACTGGCTAACTCATCCTCTTTTCTTCTTTATCCCATCCCCACTGAGCCCAAGACAGAAACTCAATAAACACTGAGTTGACTTCAAGTGAATGAGAGTCAGCATAGTCTCTTTAAGGGCAAGGATTATGTTCTTCTGTACTCCCAGAAGTCTGTGCATAGTAGGCTCAATAAATACTTCTATTAAGTTGGAATCTGATCTACACAGAGCACGTCAAAGCTAAATACAGGCACAGTTCATTTTACTATGCTTCACTTTATTGTGCTTCACAGATACTGTGTTTTTTATGAACTGAAGCTTTGTGGCAACCCTGCCTTGAACAAGTCTTTTGCTGTTTTCCAACAGCATGTGCACATTTTGTGTCTGTGTGTCACGTTTTGGTAATTCTCACATTATTTCAAACTTTTAAATTACTATTACAGTTGTTATGGCGATCTATGATCTGTGATCAGTGATCTTGGATATTCCTATTGTCATTGTTTTGAGACGTCCTGAGCTGCACCCACGTAAGATGGCCAACCTAATTGATAAATATTGTGTGTGTTCTGACCGCTCCCCTGGCTGGCCATTCCTCTCCTTGGGCCTCTCTATTTGCTGAGACACAACAATATTGAAATTAGACCAATTAATAACCTTACTTTGACTTGTAAGTGTTCAGGTCAAAGAAAGTGTCACATGACTCTCATTTTAAATCAAAAGCTAGAAATAATTAAACTTAGTAAGGATGGCATATCAAAAGCCAAGTCAGACCAAAAGTGAGGCATTTTGTGCCCCACAGCCAAGTTGTGAATGCAAAGAAAAAGTTCTTAAAGGTAATCAGAAGTGCTACTCCAGTAAACACACAAATGATAAGAAAGCAAAACAGTCTTATTGCTGATGTGGAGAAAGCTTTAGTGATCTGGATAGAAGATCAAACCAGCCCCAACATTCCCTTAAGCCAAAGCCTAATCTAGAGCAAGACAGTACCTTTCTTTCATTCTATGAAGACTGAAAGAGGAGAGGAAGCTGCAGAAGAAAAGTTTGATTCTAGCAGAGGTTGGTTCTTGAGGTTTAAGGAAAGAAGTCCTCTCCACAATGTAAAAGTTCAAAGCAGCAGCAGCAAGTGCTGATGTAAAAACTGCAGTAAGTGATTCAGAAGATCTAGCTAAGATAATTGATGAAGGTGACTACACTGAAAAACAGATTTTCAGTGTATAAGAAATAGCCTTATATTGGAAGAAGATGCCATCTAGGACTTTCACAGCTAGAAGGGGGAAGTCAATGCCTGGCTTCAAAGTGTCAAAGGACAGACTGACTCCCTTTTTAGGGGCTAACACAGCTGATGACTTTAAGATGAAAACAATGCTTATTTACCATTCCAAAAATCCTACGGTCCTTAAGAATAATGCTCAGTCTACTCTGCCTATGCTCTAAAAATGGAACAACAAAACCTGGATAATAGCACATCTGTTTAAGAATGGTTTACTGAATATTTTAAGCCCACTGTTGAGACTTACTGCTCAGAAGAAATGATTCCTCTCAAAATATTACTGCTCATTGACTATGCACCTAGTCACCCAAGGGCTCTGATGGAGGTGTGCAAGGAGATTAATGTTGTTTTCATGCCGGTTAACACAACATCCATTCTGCAGCCCATGGATCAAGGAGTAACTTCAACTTTCAAATCTCAGGCTTCAGCTGTCATAGATAGTGATTCCTCTGATGGATCTGGGCAAAGTAAATTGAAAACCGTCTGAATAGGATTCACCATTCTTCATGCCATTAAGAACATTCATAATTCAGGGGAAAAGGTAAAAATATCAACATTAACAGAAATGTAAAAGACGTTGATTCCAAACATCGTCAATGGCTTTGAGGGGTTCAAGACCTCAGTGAAGGAAGTAACTGCAGATGTGGTGGAAATAGCAAGAGAACCAGAATTAGAAGTGGAGCCTGAAGAATGGATGAGGAGTTGCTTCTTGTGGATAAGTAAATAAAGTAGTTTCTTGAGATAAAATCTACTCCTGGTAAAGATGCTGTGAACATTGTTGAAATGACCACAAAGGACTTAGAATATTATATAACCTGAGTTCATAAAGCAGTGGCAGGGGTTGAGAGGATTGACTCCCATTTTGAAAGAAGTTCTACTGTGGATAAAATGCTCTCAGACAGCGGTGCATGCTACAGAGAGATCTTTAGTGAAAGGAAAAGTCCATTGACGCAGCAAACTCTGTTTTTTTATTTTAAGAAATTAACACAGCCACTCCAGTCACCAGCAACCACCAAACTGATCAGTCAGCAGTCATCAACATCGAAGCAAGACCCTCCACCATCAAGAAGAGATTAAGACTCACTGAAGGCTCAGATTGTTAGCATTTTTTAGCAATAAAGTTTTTAAAATTAAGATATATATTGTTTTGGGGTGTAATTCTATTGCACACTTAAGGGGCTACAGTATATTTTACACTGTATACACATATATATATGTATAGGTATATATATTACATTGTATACGTTTTGTTAGGCTTTAGCTGCCACGGATAGTGATTCCTCTGATGGATCTGGGCAAAGTAAATTGAAAACTATCTGGGGGCGGAGCAAGATGGCCGAATAGGAACAGCTCCAGTCTCCAACTCCCAGCGCAAGCGACATAGAAGACCGGTGATTTCTGCATTTTCAACTGAGGTACTGGGTTCATCTCACTAGGGAGTGCCGGACAATCGGTGCTGGTCAGCTGCTGCAGCCCAACCAGCGAGAGCTGAAGCAGGGCGAGGCATCGCCTCACCTGGGAAGCGCAAGGGGGAAGGGAATCCCTTTTCCTAGCCAGGGGAACTGAGACACACAACACCTGGAAAATAGGGTAACTCCCACCCCAATACTGCGCTTTAAGCAAACCGGCACACCAGGAGATTATATCCCACACCTGGCCGGGAGGGTCCCATGCCAACGGAGCCTCCCTCATTGCTAGCACAGCAGTCTGTGATCTAACCGCAAGGCAGCAGCGAGGCTGGGGGAGGGGCGCCCACCATTTCTTAGGCTTAAGTAGGTAAACAAAGCCTCTGGGAAGCTCCAACTGGGTGGAGCTCACAGCAGCTCAAGGAAACCTGCCTGTCTCTAGACTCCACCTCTGGGGACAGGGCACAGCTAAACAACAACAACAAAAAGCAGCAGAAACCTCTGCAGATGCAAACAACTCTGTCTGACAACTTTGAAGAGAGCAGTGGATCTCCCAACACGGAGGTTGAGATCTGAGAAGGGACAGACTGCCTGCTCAAGTGGGTCCCTGACCCCTGAGTAGCCTAACTGGGAGACATCCCCCACTAGGGGCAGTCTGACACCCCACACCTCACAGGGTGGAGTACACCCCTGAGAGGAAGCTTCCAAAGTAAGAATCAGACAGGTACACTCGCTGTTCAGCAATATTCTACCTTCTGCAGCCTCTGCTGCTGATACCCAGGCAAACAGGGTCTGGAGTGGACCTCAAGCAATCTCCAACAGACCTACAGCTGAGGGTCCTGACTGTTAGAAGGAAAACTATCAAACAGGAAGGACACCTACACCAAAACCCCATCAGTACGTCACCATCATCAAAGACCAGAGGCAGATAAAACCACAAACATGGGGAAAAAGCAGGGCAGAAAAGCTGGAAGTTCAAAAAATAAGAGCGCATCTCCCCCGGCAAAGGAGCGCAGCTCATCGCCAGCAACGGATCAAAGCTGGACGGAGAATGACTTTGACGAGACGAGAGAAGAAGGCTTCAGTCCATCAAACTTCTCAGAGCTAAAGGAGGAATTACATACCCAATGCAAAGAAACTAAAAATCTTGAAAAAAGAGTGGAAGAATTGATAGCTAGAATAATTAATGCAGAGAAGGTCATAAACGAAATGACAGAGATGAAAACCATGGCACGAGAAATACGTGACAAATGCACAAGCTTCAGTAACCGACTCGATCAACTGGAAGAAAGAGTATCAGCGATCGAGGATCAAATGAATGAAATGAAGCGAGAAGAGAAACCAAAAGAAAAAAGAAGAAAAAGAAATGAACAAAGCCTGCAAGAAGTATGGGATTATGTAAAAAGACCAAATCCACATCTGATTGAGGTGCCTGAAAGTGAGGGGGAAAATGGACAAGTTGGAAAACACTCTTCAGGATATCATCCAGGAGAACTTCCCCAACCTAGTAGGGCAGGCCAACATTCAAATCCAGGAAATACAGAGAACGCCACAAAGATACTCCTCGAGAAGAGCAACTCCAAGACACACAATTGCCAGATTCACCAAAGTTGAAATGAAGGAAAAAATCTTAAGGGCAGCCAGAGAGAAAGGTCAGGTTACCCACAAAGGGAAGCCCATCAGACTAACAGCAGATCTCTTGGCAGAAACTCTACAAGCCAGAAGAGAGTGGGGGGCCAATATTCAACATTCTTAAAGAAAAGAATTTTAAACCCAGAATTTCATATCCAGCCAAACTAAGTTTCATAAGTGAAGGAGAAATAAAATCCTTTACAGATAAGCAAATGCTTAGAGATT